TGGGGCGATATAGAGGGCGGGGGGGTCTGTGGGGTCGGTGCGGGGAATGGGGCGATATAGAGGGCGGGGGGGTCTGTGGGTTTCGGGGTCAGTGTGGGGATTGGGGCGATATAGAGGCCAGGGGGATCAGTGGGGGTCAGGGTTTGGTGTGGGGATGAGAAGGGCAGGGCTGATAGAGTCGGGGAGACGGAGGTGGGCTCCATGGCCTTGCTGGCTGCCTGGGGCACGGGGGCTGTATTGGCCGGTGCGCCGGCTCTTACTTACTGCCCCCCAGCTGCCCCCATGGACCTGATGTGCTATGTGGTAGTGCCATGGCCAGGGGCTGTCAGGCTGCGGAGCCACCCTGGCTCCGCTCCTTTGGCCACAGGTGGGTAGGCGGCTTTGCCCCATGCGTGACTGGGCTTGGCCTTGGCCTGGGAGCTGGCGCCCCGGGGGGGCGCCGGGGCTCTGCTGGAAGGGTGTTCGGGTCTCAGGCTGCACAGGGGCCAAGTGCAGCCTGGTGGGAGCGTCAGCCCCTCGCGAGGGGCCCTGGCACTCGCTCGGGCACAAGGAGGCGCAGCTGCATCCGTTTCTCCTTCTCCCTCTGAGGTGGCTGGCTGGGAGCTGAGCCATGCTGGCAGAGCCGGGCCCTGCAAGAGGCAGCGCAGAGAGCAACGGGCCCCATGGATTCCCAGGTGAGGGGAGCGGAGCGAGCCCTGGGGGAGGGGCTGTGTCCAGCACTGCGGCTGCCTGGGGGCTCTGTGCAGCTCTGGGAAGCAGTGATGGCATGCCAGCCTGGGAGGCAAATGCCCTCTCCCGCCTGCCCAGCAAGGCCCCGAGTGGGGGCTGCCAGAGACGAGCAGCAGCTCCCGAGAGCCCTGCTCAAGGACTGCGAGGCAGTGACCGTGTGGGGCTCAGGACTGCAGGGTTGTTCTGACTCTGCCACCCACTGGCTGTCTGGTCTTGGCCAAAACCCCCACACCTCTGTGTGCCTCAGTTTCCCCATCTGGAGAATGCTGGGGCCTGAACTCAGTAATGTCTGTCAGGAGCTCTGAGCTGGGCGGGTGGCGCTAGCCAAGTGTAGGGACATCAATGTCACTCCTCAGCCGAGCCGCACGGGAGGTGACAGTCATGGGCCTGGGGGGACGGGGGGTCTGAGGGAGGTGGGACAACACGGCCAGTCCCAGGGACTGAATGAACTCTGCTAGCTCCTCTGCCCACACTGGGAGCCCAGCAGCCGCTGCCCAGTGGGGTAGGGTCAGCCCAAGCCATCTGGGCCTGAGACCGGCCTTAGCAGGAGCACAGGACACCCCCCCAGACTGGGAGCTTGGGTGTCCTGTACCCCTCCAACCCCTCCCACAGAGACTGGCTTAGCCAGTGGAGCCTGCTCTGGGCTCCATGCACCGTGGCAGGCTCCTCACAGAGGCTCAGCCCTGACGGCCTGGCCCTGATGTGCTGCTCTCCTGGCTGGATGTAGGTGCTGACGTTGAGGGGGATGCTGTCACGGAGAAGGCAGCTGTGCTCCCTGCCCGCCGCAAGGGCCCTGCTGCCCCTGGCCCCAGGAGGCAGCGGCAGGAAGGTAGGAACCCTGCAGCTGGTCCCAGCCAGCCCTTCTCTCTGACCTCCCTGCCCCTTTTCTTTGGAGCCCCTCACTGCCATGGCTAGTCGCTGCAGCAGAGCGACCCCAGGCGTGCAGGGCATGGCCTGGGCCAGCCCAAGGCACGTGGGCCAGCCCAAGGCACGTGGGCTCCCAGTGGAAGCATGCAGGGTCCGGCACCAGCGGAGAGTGTCCCTGGCTCAGTCCCTTTCCCCAGCCCTGGAGTGAACCGTTGTCTGACCAAGAGCCCCCCAGCCTATTCTCCCCATGCTGCCCACTGCGGGGGGCATGCCTCAGCCCATGACCCCCTATAGCCTGTCCTGGGGGCTATTCCTTGGCACATGACCTCCTCAGGGCTGGCAACACAGAGGGGGCCATTGCCCAGCCGCCTGGCTAGTGGCACTGCCAGGGAGCCAACCCCCCCAGGGCCCCCAGAAACAGCAGAAAGAGCAGAGTGCCATGGGCAAGGGCCCCCTGAGGACGGCCTGGCAGGCACGCTCCAGAGGTTGGAGTGGGTCTAGCAGAGGTGGCGCTAGGCTGTTCTCCCGTTCCAGGGCTCACAGCTCCTCCGAGCGATGGGCGTACCCGGCGCAGCAGCGGCTGCTACCCTCTCAACCCAGAGCGCCTCAAGCAGGGCAGGCTGCACGTGGAGAGAGCCGTCAAGGTGAGGCGCTGTCCGCTGCGCCCTGCCTGCAGCCCATCTTCTACCCCGGAGCCCCCGCCTCCCCACCCCAGGCCTGCCTGCCCCTCCTCGGCCTCCCCCCTGGGCCCTGCCTGCCCCTGGTCCTGCCTGCCTCTCCCTCCCCCCCAGCCCTGCTTGGCCCTCCCCCGGGCCCTGCCTGCCCCCCCCCGGCCCCCCTGGGCCCTGCCTGCCCCTTCCCTGCCCCACCCCATGCAGCCTCCCCAGGGCCCTGTAAACTCCCCCCACCTTCCCCATCCCCTATATGCCCCTCCCCCAGACATACTCTCCCCAAGCAAAGTCTCACATACCCCCAGCCCCCATGTCCTTCCCCCACAGGCTTCACATGCCCTTGGCCTCCCCCCCAACCCCTCCGCATCCCTCCCACCCTGAGGCCTCACATGTCCCAGCCACCCCCCTGCGCAGCCTTGTGTGGTCCTGCCTGCCTGAGCTCTGTCTGACCCCCCGGGGTGCCCGTCCTGCATGTCCGTGCTAAGGGGGTCCAGGGCCCAGCTGCACCTTGGGCTCCCCTTGCATGGAGCATTCAGCTCCCTTCCCCCGCAGCAAAGGAAGATCTTCATGCTGCATGGCCCGTACCCCGTGATCCGGAGACTGCTGCGCAGCCGGGGCTGGGTGGAGAAGAAGGCCCCCAAGGCGGCACACAGATGGGAACGAGCGCCTGATGGCGAGGAGGATGGGGAGGGGGATGACAGCGACGGTGCCGAGGAGGGTGAGAGTTGGGCACATGGAGGGGCCCGACAAAGCCCCGCCCCCAGGACAGATCTTTCCTCTCCCAGTGCCAGGGCTCTCCTGCCGCTCCGGGCATGGGCTCTCCAGGGCAGGTCCCTGCTCAGGCCTGGGACTCGCTGGGGGCAGCAAGCTCAGGGGAGCATAGCTGAGAAGGAGGGACAGCCTGGGCCCTGGCCCCAGGAGACTGCTGGGGAACCGCAATGCCTTGCTGTGGGGTGGCTCCAGATTCTGAGATACGCCTGGCCCGGTCCCTGGAGCGCCCCAGCCCTGCCAGGTCCCCAGGGAGCACCCCAGCCCTGCCAGGTCCCTAGGGAGCACCCCAGCCCCACCAGGTCCCCCCATCCCAGTCCTAGAGAAGCCCCCCAGCCCTGCCAGGTCCCCCCATCTTGGTCTCCAGTGAGCACCCCAGCCCTGCCAGGTCCCTAGGGAGCGCCCCAGCCCTGCCAGGTCCCCAGGGAGCGCCCCAGCCCTGCAAGGTCCCCCCATCCCAGTCCTAGAGAAGCCCCCCAGCCCTGCCAGGTCCCCCCATCTTGGTCCCCAGGGAGCACCCCAGCCCCACCAGGTCCCCCCATCCCAGTCCTTGAGAAGCCCCCCAGCCCTGCCAGGTCCCCCCATCTTGGTCCCCGGGGAGCGCCCCAGCCCTGCCAGGTCCCCAGGGAGTGCCCCAGGCCTGCCAGGTCCCCGGGGAGCGCCCCAGCCCTGCCAGGTCCCCCCATCCCAGGAGCACCCCAGCCCTGCCAGGTCCCCAGGGAGCGCCCCAGCCCCGCCAGGTCCCCGGGGAGCGCCCCAGCCCCGCCAGGTCCCCAGGGAACACCCCAGCCCCGCCAGGTCCCCAGGGAGCGCCCCAGCCCCGCCAGGTCCCCGGGAGCGTGTGTGTCCCAAGCTCAGAATGCTCAGCAGCTTGGGCCATCAGGCGCTGTGCCCGGGGCAGTGGTGCTCTGGCCTCCCTCTGGCTCTTGCTCTTCTTCCCCAGACGAGGAGGGCGAGGAAGAGGAGGAGCAGGATGATGACCCTGATGGCACCTATGACCTCATGGTTAGTTTGGGGGTGGAGGAGCCCAGGCCACCCCATCTCCCTGCACCCTCTGGCACAGGTGGAAGTTCGGCCTCACAGGAGCATCCACACAGAATTGCCTGCTGAGAGTAGTGTGTTCAGGCCAGGGCAGAGCACAGGGCTGGGGCAGGGCGGGGGTACGTTCAGGCTGGGGTGGAGGGCGGGGCAGGGCAGGGGGCGTTCAGGCTGGGGCGGAGCGTGGGGGTGGGGCAGGGCGGCGGGACATTCAGGCTGGGGTAGAGCGCGGGGGCGGGGCAGGGCAGGGGGCGTTCAGGCCGGGGCAGGGCGGGGGCGGCCCCTCGGAGCTGTCTGGCCGAGGAGCTTGGCGAGGCTGGCGCTGGGTTCTGCGTGACCCTTGGCCGTGGGAGTTGAAGGCCGGCACATCCAGTGGCTGGGCCGTGGGCTGTGCTGGCCCGTCCCTCGCAGACAGGTGCTGGGCATGGCCTGGGCCTGTCTGCGCCATGGAGGCGCTGGGTGCCCCAGCGTTCGGCCCGCTGAGAAAGCCTAGGCAGGGCAGACCCGGCCGGGCGCCCCTGGGCTTCCCTGGCCCCTCACACCAGCCCCTCTCCCACGGGCAGTCGCGGCTGGTTCGCAACCAGATGCCCTATTTCATCTGGACTAACCGGCGAGATGCCATCGACTGCCGCTTCCTGCGCAAGGAGCAGGTGATGAACCACTACGCCAAGGCGGGCTCCTTCACCACCAAGGTGAGCACAGGGCGGCCACCAACCTTGCTGGGGGAGGCAGGGCATGGGACTGGGGCCTGCACAGGGAGAGGGTGCACACATGGACCTGGGTCGGTGGGAGGTTGTCCATGGCCGTGCAGGGACGGGGGTGCACATGTGGCCCTGGGTGGGCGAGGAGTGGGGGGAGCCATGGCCCAATGGGTCTGAGACCCTGCACTGCATGCGGGGGTCAGTCCCAAGCTGAAGCTCCGTTCTCTCCCAGGTGGGGCTGTGTCTGAACCTGCGGAACCTGCCTTGGTTCGACCAGGCCGATGCCGACACCTTCTTCCCCCGCTGCTACCGGCTGGGTGCCGCGGATGAGAAGCACGCCTTCATCGGTGAGCACTGCTGTGCACTGGGGGGCACACTGCCCCAGGGAGGAGTGGCTCCCAGCTGGCCCCGGGGGAGGCCACGGGCTGTCCTGGGTGATGGGGGGGCTCCCAGCTGGTCCCAGAGAGGCCGAGGGCTGTCCCGGGTGATGGGGGGCTCCCAGCTG